CGGCCGAGGGGGTGAAGCTGGAGAACTACTACGTGCAGCCCATCTGTACGCCCTCCCGCAGCCAGCTCCTCACCGGCAGGTAGGGTCCTGTCTGGGGGAACCCTAGGCCTGTTGTCTGGGGAACCGAAATTGTGAACCCCGAAGCATTTGCTTAATGAAGATCCAGATCCTGACTTAGGGGAGTCACCGGAAATGTGGGGAGCAGCTGAATGAATGAATGAGTGAGTGAATGAGTGAGTGAGTGAATGAATGAGTGAATGAGTGAATGAGTGAATGAGTGAGTGAATGAGTGAGTGAATGAGTGAGTGATGAATGGGTGAGTGAATGAGTGAGTGAATGAGTGAATGGATGAGGTGTTGAGTGGGGTGGGTATGAGTGACCCTGAGCCAGGGCACTGGTCTAGGGCTGTTTTGTGCAGCTGGGAGCCTGCTGGCGGGACTTGGAAACATTCACCCCCGCTCCCCCCCAACCAGACAGCCCAGACGTGGTCTCCCCACATCTCACATCTCCTCTGGCGTTGGGCATGCTCCGATGGCGTTCCCAGGCCACACTAGAACCCACAGTTGCCGTCGCTGGCAAGCAAGACGTGCCCACCTGCTTCTGTGGCTCTTGGCTTGTTTCTAGAACAGAAGACTCAGAGCCACAGGTCATCGCAGAGGGAGAGGCCCCGGAGAGCCAGGCTGTGTGACCTCTGGCCAGTGTCCCCACGACTGTGCTTGGTCTCTGGGGGGACATCCTCTCGTTAGGCTCTCACCAAGGCCGGGCATCGTCATCACAGCAGGTCTCAAAGTGTAGGAAACGCACTGTGAATCCTCAGTGGGGCCCTGGCCGGTGTGACTCAGTGGATAGAGCATTGGCCTGCGGACTGAAGGGTCCCGGGTTCAATTCAGTCAAGGGCAGGGACCTCGGTTGCAGGCTCCTCTCCAACCCGGGCCCTGGTCGGGTGCGTGCGGAAGGCAACCAATCGATGTGTCTCTCACATCAATGTTTCGCTCTGTCTCTCCCTCTCTCTTCCATTCTCTCTAAAAATCAACAGAAAAATATCCTCGGGTGAGGATTCACAACAAAAATGTCAATGCTGCTCGCCCTATGCCTGGGAATTTTGTGATCAACTCTAAGGAAAATCCCATTTGGAGGCCTAAGGACCATTGTTCAGTGCGAGGGTAGCTGGTTTGTAAGCGGGATCCAGGGCCAGGCCAGCTCTGGCCGGCACAGAAGGCAGCCTCGGGCTCCAGTGTGTGTGTCCCTGTGAGTTCAGCCCCAAGGAGCCCTCGCTTCGGCGAAGTTGTTCTTGGAACTGGATCCCCCGGCGGCGCCAGTCTCCGCTGGAAAAATAAAGACTATGTTGTAGGAATCTCCGCCTTGCAGACACCGTTGCTTACGGCATGATTTCCACTGCTCAGCCAACTGTCAGAAGTTGGCGTCAGTGCCAAAGCAGAGGGAAAGCCTCCCTTTCCTGAGACAGAGAAAGGAGTCTCTCTGTGCCTCGGTCGATTCAAAGGGCAGCGTCAAGGGCATGGGATGTTTACGAAGGGGTTGGCGGGAAAACAGCGCATCCATGGGCGGCCTGCAGGTCAGCCGCTCTCGCTTGGTTTATGAGTAAACGTGTCCCAAAGACTCCGCGAGCCTCTCAGCTAATCTCAGAATTGACGCTGACAAGCCCGGCCGGCGTGGCTCAGCGGTTGGGCATCAACCTAGGAACCAGGAGGTCAGGGTTCGATTCCCGGCCAGGGCACATGCCCGGGTTGTGGGCTCGATCCCCGGTCGGAGGTGGGCAGGGGGCAGCTGATCCATGATTCTCTCTCCTCATTGATGTTTCTGTCTCCTTCTCCCTCTCCCTTCCTCTCTGAAAGCAATCCTATATAATAAAAGCCTAATATGTAAACAGTGGAATGACCAGTCGCTATGATGTGCACTGACCACTGGGGGGCAGATGCTCAATGCAGGAGCTGCCCCCAGCCCGCAGGCCCCAGGCCAGCCAAGGTGGGTACCAGTGGGGGCCCCCTGATTACCCTGCTGGTCACCCCACAGATTGGCCCTGATCGCCAGCCAGGTCTATGGACCCTACCCGTGCGTGAATTTCATGCACCAGGACAGAATTGCAGTGACGAGAGCCACGGTGCTTGAACAGCACGCGCTGGGCACCGTGGGCTCCCCTTCCATCGAGCACACTCCTCAGGCTCCTGCCAGCAGCATCCTACACTGAGGGCAGCAGGCTCTTCCTTTCCTTTGTTAATCCTCCCCCGAGGGCATTTCTCCATTGATTTTAGAGAGAGTGGAAGAGAGAGAGAGACAGGAACACCGATGTGAGAGAAACACATCGACTGGCTGCCTCCCGCAGGAGCCCCGACCAGGGCCCGGCCTGGGGAGGAGCCTGCAACCGAGGTCCGTGCCCTTGACCAGAATCAAACCCGGGACCCTTCGGTCCGCAGGCCAACGCTCTATCCACTGAGCCACACTGGCCAGGGCAGGGTTTTCTTTTATGGTTATGGTGACTTAATGGCAGGAGACAGAGAGGAAGTTGGGGACAAGTCCTGGCGTGGCCCTGGAGTCGGAGGGGGCCTCCTGCCCTTTCCTGCAGGGGCACCTCCTGAGGAGACTTATCGGTGGGAATGTCTGTGCAGCGCGGCCAGCGGCGCTCCCACGGCGACCGGCGCTCCTGTCTGGATCGGACAGTTAGGGGCCTTGGCACTTGCAGGTCTTTTTTAACAAAAAACAAAACAAAACATATTTTTATTGACTTCAGAGAGGAAGGGACGGGGAGGGAGAGAGAGAAACATCAGTGAGGAGAGAGAATCATGGATCGGCTGCCTCCTGCACGCGCCTTATTGGGGATCGAGCCTGCCACCCAGGCCTGTGCCCTGACTGGGAATCGAACCGTGACCTCCTGGGCCCTAGGTCGATGCTCAGCCTCTGAGTCACGCCGACCCAGCTGCAGTTTGCTCTTGAGGAACCACTGGGACTTCCCGCGACGTCCCGCAGGCGGGAGAGGGTGGCGCTGGAGCCGGGCTCGGGGCCCAACCACGCATCGATGACGCGGAGCCCCGGGGAGCTGGCCATTCTCTCCCCGGGGACGTGCTGCGGACCCTGGATCCTCTAAATAAAAAGCAAGCAACAGAAACCCACATGGGCCGAGTTACTTTACAGGAGACACTAGGTTATGTGACACAGGAGAGGATTCCAGTCTCCCCGCATTTATAAAGAAAGAGCGCCCATGGCTGAAGCGGTTTCTGAAGCTGTTAACCCCACCCCGACCTATGCTGGGGTCACCAGGTGGAGTCTCTCCCTCCTGCACAGACCTGGCAGCGTCCAGGCGCCTGAGTCAGTGGCATCGCCCCACCTGGCAGCGGGGGGCTGTGCCTGCCCACGCGTCCTCGTCCTGGGCAGGTCCCTGAAGGAACCATCGGAACCCATCGCCCTCACCTCTGGGCAGCTGCTCACAAACCTGCGTGAACAGAGCGAATCAGCCAAAGTGCTGGTTATGATGCAGATTCCAGGCCCGGCCGGTGACTGCACCAGGGCCTGGGGGGAGCGCGGAAGTCAGTAGTAATTTGCCAAGCACGTCAGGTGGCTCTGGTGTCTCCATTCAGATAAATGAAGAAGTGATCTTAAGTGCTGGCCGGCGTGGCTCAGTAGTTGAGCGACCACCTATGAACCAGGAGGCACCCGGTCAGGGCACACGACCAGGTTGCAGCTCGATCCCCAGTAGGGGGCGTGCAGGAGGCAGCCGATCCGTGATTCTGTCTTATTGATGCTCCCTCTCCCTCTCCCTTCCTGTCTGAAATCAATAAAAAAACAATTTAAATAGATGGGGACCCAAGACTAGAGCCCCATCCCCCCCAGAGCCCTGGATGAAAGCTGCTGGTATCCCCAAGTTTGGTTCCCTTCGTCTTTCTCCTACAGCCACCGCCCGGGATTCGCCGTGAGGCCCCGCACTCTGCTCTCCTGACAGCATCAGGGCTTGTTGCCAGGCTCTTACCACCCTGGACGTTGCCTGTCCCCGTGGCGCGGCGGCCCTGGGGTGTCTGACCGCTGCTCCCTCCCTCCTGGTTCCCAGCCCCTTGGCCTCACTCAGACAGGGTCTCTCACAGCCGCACCCGCAGCCAGCACACCGGTCCCCACGGACGGCCGCGGAAGGGAGAGAAACCCCGTCCGACTCCGCCACCCTCTTTCCAGCACCCTGCTGTCTCCCCAGCACACCCACCCCGGGGGCAAAAGATTCATGTTATTTTGAAAAATATTTGTGAAATAATTGAGCAGACGTCATTGCATGGAGGCTGTGAGAGGGCAGGAAGGTTACATGTGTCAGTAACACGGTCACACAGCGTCCCAGCGGCACAGCCTGTCTGACCCTGACGTGTGTGGTGTCAACAGCCTCTCGTCTGCCCCGCTCTGCCGGCCCGAGGGGGGCGTGGGGGCACCGGGTGCAGGCCGGGCTGCCTCCCTCTCTCTCCGGGGGGAAGGTGCTTGGCACTGACCGCCCCCTTGGCATGCAGCTCCCCTCCGTGTCTCGTAACCTGGCCCCCTGTCCAGATGCCCGCCGTCGTCAAGACTCAGCTCAAATGCCGCCTCCCTGCACAGCTCCCCATGCTCCTGAGCCAGACTGGTGTCCCGCAGGACCTTCCAGGGCCTCCCTGTGACCGTTGCCCTGTTAGGATGGCTTCCCGGCTCCTCCAGCTGCGCCTGGGTTCCGCCTGCGGATCTCCCCCGTGGGAGCTGGTCTGAGCGGCCGGAGGGCTGGTGAGCGGGGTGGATGCCTGGAGGGGTAAGCGCAGTCCTGGTCCCTCTGGCCGGCAGAGGGCAGAGTCCATGCAGAGGACGGGGGCCTTGCCTATGACCAGGAGGCCTGGCAGGGGCAGGGGCTGGGCACCCCTCTTTCCGAGTCTCTCCAGCAGCAGGACTGCAGTTCATCCCACGGCCTCCGGGGGCGACCTCGGTGAAAACAGTCTGAAAACACAAGTTTCTTTTTTTTTTTCATTTTTTATTTTTTATTGCTTACAGTATTACAAAGGGTATTGCATATGTGTCCTTTTTTCCCCTCGCCCTTGACAGTCCACTAGCCTCCCCTACCCCCCAGATTTTTCCTTCATTGACTGGCTTATTTCACTTAGCATAATGCTCTCCAGTTCCATCCATGCCGTTGCAAATGGTAAGAGTTCCTTCCTTTTTACAGCAGCATAGTATTCCATCATTGAAAACGCAAGTTTCCTGTCGCTTTGAAGTAAAACTTTCCTGAAACGTGGAGCTGCCCCTCCATAACGTTCACCATTTGCACCCAGGAGAGCTGACTGCTGGCGCCTTCTGTGGGTGCGGCCTGGTCTCTGTTCAGTTTCAGCCAGCAAGTCGGGGTGACGACTGAGCCCACACGCTTCGGGGTGAATGCATTTCCCCACCAAGCTTTCCCCAGGGTTCCCGGCCCCGAGTTGTCCAGGGCAGTGACCAGGGTCCAGCGGGACCTCTTCCTCCACCTTAACTCACCCTGAGAGGCAGTTAGAGACCCGGACGTTTTTCCCATTAGAAACGGTGGAAATGGGATTCATCCGTTCCAGGCCCTGGGACGCTTCCCCCTTTTAATCATTCTTATAGGCGGCGCCTGTCCGATGTACTGTGTAATCTGCAAACACTTAAAAGCAAAAAGGGCGCCGAAACCGGTTTGACTCAGTGGATAGAGTGTCGGCCTGCGGACTGAAAGGTCCCGAGTTCGATTCCGGTCAAGGGATCGAACCCATGTACCTGGGTTGCGGGCTCATCCCCAGTAGGAGATGTGCAGGAGGCAGCTGGTCGATGTTTCTCTCTCATCGATGTTTCTAACTCTCTATCTCTCTCCCTTCCTCTCTGTAAAAAATCAATAAAATATATTTTAAAAAAAAAGCAAAAAGGGCATGAAGTGGAAATTTAACAAAACGGAGAGGAAATGTACAGGTAGCGATGAAAATGGAATCATCATCGTAAGCAGCAACCAAAGCAAAAAGAGACAAACAAACAAAAAACAGGTGAACATATTCACCGCCCAGCACCCTGGGGTGCTAACAGCAGTGAGCGGGCTCATCCTCGCGCCTCAAGACTTGAAGAAAAAGAGGGTGTTATAGGATGTATTTTGTTTCGTCCACAAAGAGCAGAGAGAACTGTGACCTGTGGGGGTGATGACAGGAGAGGACTAGCAGACGGGGCTCTGGGGGAGCAGGCAGGCCCCTGAACCCCAGGGTCACAGGCTCCGGTCCGGCCTGTCCCTGGGGTCCCCATGACCAAGGGGGGGGTGCTTGCTGCAGCCCAGCCGACCTGTCTGCACCCCGAGACTGCACTTACGTTTCTTAGACCGCAGCTCCCTTTCCGTGCACGGGGTTCTGTGGCCTCCTGAGGGCTGTTCCGGAATGAGAGGCGTTGCTAGTCATTGTGGGCGCCCAGCGGACACTCCGCCGACCTCTGCAGCGAGGCCCCTCCCGCGCTCCAGGCCTTAGCTCTGAGCACAGGCGTCGGCAGGCCAGGCTCCGGGGCTGAGGTCTTTCTCTCTTTCCTTCTCTCTCTCTTTCCTTCTTCTTTTCTTTCTCTCTTTCTTTCTGTTTTTTTGTTGTTGTTCATTCTCACCTGAGGATATTTTTCCATTGATTTTTAGAGAGAGTGAAAGGGAGACGGGAGAGACAGAGAGAACCATCCAGGTGTGAGACACATCGATTGGTTGCCTCCTGCACGCACCCAGGCTTGGGGCCAGAGCAGGGGATC